CCGCTACTCGTCGTCTCACCTGGCTTCAGAAGATGTTACGAGAGATAGGAGAGTCTCCAGCAGGCAGCGCATCCATCTTCGGGAAGTGGAAAGAGCAAACGGCATGGTCCTTGGTTGAGGTAAATGCTGAGCGTTTGATTTGTCCCAACCAAGATTTCAGCACTTGGTTCGTCACGATTTTCGCTTGCCAGCTAACGTCTCCGCACTCCAGCTTTCCCCTGTCGGTGTCACGTCCCAGTACACAACGGAGAGGACTACTAATAAACAGTTCACGGCACTAACAGCCTTGAACACAGTACTTCTTTCACTTCGTGAATACAAGAAGACAACTGAAAATGACACAATTCTTCAGTGATCGACCTTCTCTCTCACGGAGCTAAGCAAAATGTGCGTCATCACCTGTAGTCGCCATGGAAACGGGATCAGGAAATCGGCGATATGGCAAGTTTCCCTTGCCGTACGCAAGCGAGAGATATACCATCGGAACCGATATCCAACTGTCTTTCATCTGAGCCCTACTTGAAAAATCGATGCACTTCCCCTTTAAAGGGGAAGTTAAGGCAAAAAATAAAATTTCACCAGTTGTAGTCTTCGGGGTGCTGAGTCGAATGGTCGTGGTCCGAGGAAGCTGAGACGCTCCCTTCCTACTTGAATCCCAATCGAACTCGCGCACTTCCACCGAAACTGGGTGACTGCGCCCTACTAGATGGGGATTTGTATGCAAAATGTCACTAAAAGCGCCATTTCGTTCTTATAAAAGCACGGATGACCGCGATTGGTCCATATGTTGTAGTCTTTTGGACGCTGAGTCGACTGGTTTTGGTCCGAAAAGGCTGCGATGCAGCGTTCCTCCTTTATTCCCAATCGAACATGGTTGAAGAAGCGGTCACGTGGTCCTGGGTGCCCAAATCACCTGGTCACCACGCCAGCAGGTGACAACTTTCACACCAAGGTTCAACTCGAGTTCAACTCGAGTGACAGGACTGCACCCAAAAAAGGTCAAACAGGCTAGTAAGTTGTACCCTGCAGGCACGGTGACCAGGTGACTGGTGTACGCAGGAGCACGTGACCGCTTCTTCAACCATGTTCGATTGGGAATAAAGGAGGAACGCCGCATCGCAGCCTTTTCGGACCAAAACCAGTCGACTCAGCGTCCAAAAGACTACAACATATGGGCCAATCGCGGTCATCCGTGCTTTTATAAGAACGAAATGGCGCTTTTAGTGAGATTTTGCATACAAATCCCCATCTAGTAGGGCGCAGTCACCCAGTTTCGGTGGAAGTGCGCGAGTTCGATTGGGATTCAAGTAGGAAGGGAGCGTCTCAGCTTCCTCGGACCACTACCATTCGACTCAGCACCCCGAAGACTACAACTGGTGAAATTTTGATTTTTGCCTTAACTTCCCCTTTAATTCGCCAAGTACGGTCAATGCGGATGAACGAAATCAGGCACTTCGCGGTCCACTGACAGCTCAAAGGTCTAGGGCCGCGCTAACTGAAAGCGTTCTTGACACACGAGATCGGATTTCAATGAGCAGCACAGTACATGTGCATGGTAGGTAGGCCTTGACGGATTATGCTAATATTTTCGTGAAATTATGCTTTTCGCATTGCTGAAAAAATGCAGAATTATGCTATTTTTATGCTAAAAGTTATCATATTATGCCACATTATGCTCACATACCTTACTATCTCCAATATAAGCACGGTCCTTTATTTTCAATGTACCTCCGCCCCGTGCTGTTAATGGAGACGTTCCTTTATTGGAGACTGTTCCATTATTATTTCAACCTCATTTCAGAGGCATGTTGCCATGCCAAATTCATGTATGACACACACATTTCAGGGTTTTTTTCGCCGGTACTAGGCCTTGACGGATTATGCTAGCATAATTTTTCGCATAATTCCTACCAAAATCGAATAAGCGCATAATTCGAGGCAAATTGCATACGGATCGCATAAATTGGAATAATCCGACTGTTCGCATCAAATTCCATACAGTTGTACATGTTTTACAAGTACAAGTACAAGTAGACACACCAGGAAGTCGTAGGTTTACGACTCCATTGATAACATGTCCAGTCCACTACAATCAGTGACCCGGGTGACGGTCGTAGCTAGGTCGGACGGTGCGTTGACCCCGTTGAACTTTTGCTACTACAGTACAACGCCCTCTACAAAAAAATTCCCCTGTTATTTTGCACAGAACCATCATATACATTAGCAGCATATGTGAGCATGATGCGCATAATATGATAACTTTTAGCATAAAAATAGCATAATTCTGCCATTTTTTCAGCAATGCGAAAAGCATAATTTCACGAAAATATTAGCATAATCCGTCAAGGCCTAGCCGGTACAGATAATGAATTTACACAGTGTGCTTATAATGGAGACCGAGCACTTTATTTTTTGAATGCCGCCCCAAGGTGTTCTATTATTGAAGACGTGCTATTATTGGAGACTGTGTTTATATATTAGAGATAATACGGTATGCTGCTAATGTATATTATGGTTCTGTGCAAAATAACAGGGGAATTTTTTTGTAGAGGGCGTAGTACTGTATTAGAACAAGTTCAATGGGATCAACGCACAATCCGACCTAGCTACGACCGTCACTGATTGTACTTCCCGGTGTATCTACTTGTACTTCTAGAACATGTACAAATGTATGGAATTTGATGCGAACAGGCGGATTTTTCCAATTTGTGCGATTCGTATGCAATTTGCATCGAATTATGCGATTATTCGATTTTGGTAGGAGTTATCCGAAATAATAATATTATTATTATGCTAGCATAATCCGTCAAGGGCCCAATGCAGTAATGGTAGGTCTACACCCGCGCAGTGCAGTTCACAGTCGCTGTAGATCCTCATTCTTGACTACCAGTAATGCAGTATCCGGAGTCCTGTACTGTACTATGGAGATCTAAAGCGCTCTTTCGAAAGTCCGTACATCTAGCAGAGTTTTACGGATGCAACTGATGCATGCCTTCCACCTTGACAGCGACATGTCACACCGTGACATACATGTATTCATACTACTTCTCTGCCTGGAAAAGTGCAAATTGTGACGCAAACCTGTGCGTCATCCTTCAAGTATTTTTAGCCTAGGGCAGATATTGTGGACATCAATCATCAGGCTTGCTTTGCAGCCCCTACTCTACCTGCTGTTTGTGATTGTATACTCTGTTGTCTTCTCTAGGCATATGCGGATACTGCCGGCAGAAAATTGGCAGAATTCGGTACTTTTTCTGGTAAGTTTCATGCACGTTTGGTATGTGGATAAAGAAATGGAACACAATTCGAGGAGTTGCCCGCCATAAGGTTTGTATGGTTCTGCCATTTTCACTGCTTTTCGAGCAGAATCTGCCACCTTTTCGAGCATTATCCGCACATCCCTAGACTCGCCTCCCCTTCTGACGAGTAGTGAGACCTGTCCTTAGTGTTTTTTTAAATCGCCTGAGTTACAGGTACATGACATTGTACGCATGTCTGCAGGACACACAGCAAGTCAGTGAAACTACGTGCATGCCAGCGCATAGTGATGCACATGTATAATCCATTCTTATAAATTAAGGATAGCGTCACGAGCATTGCACTCCAATACAATCATGGTCAAGTGCTGTCAGTGAAAGAGCCGTGTGTGTGTGTGTGTGTGTGTGTGTGTGTGTGTGTATGTGTGTGTGTGTGTGTCCCATATGGTGCAGTGGTATGTGCAGCGATTTCCAATCGATAGATTGCGGGTTCGATTCCCGACGATTATGGTCACACACGTCTTTCTTCTCTTTCTCAGACTCTTCCTGACTTTTCTTTCATTCTCCTGGGTGGTTACCAACAGCCAGTGCATGCCGGAGTATGTGGTGTGATGTGTGTGCGGGAAAAAAAAAGAAAAAAAAGAAAAAAATGAAAAAGACCAAAAAAGGGATTCACTGGCCAGAAAATGTCACTCCAAATAGCTGTATGGTGTAGACCAGGCTGAATAGTGACGGTCAATTCTTCAGCCTTGCAAGCTGTTGAATGGTGTAATCCCAGCACAAGTTGCTATGGCTTCTGCCGTAGCATTGCTATCATCGCCTCCGGCGATGGGCGTCAAAGGTCAAAGGTGTGTGTGCGTGTGTGCGGTGTGTGTGTGTGCGGTGTGTGTGTGTGTGCATGTGTGTGTGTGTGTGTGTGTGCGGTGTGTGTGTGTGTGTGTGTACGTGTGTGTGTGTGTGTGTGTGTGTGTGTGTGTGTGTGTGTGTGGGTGTGGGTGTGGGTGTGGGTGTGGGTGTGGGTGTGGGTGTGGGTGTGGGTGTGGGTGTGGGTGTGTGTCTGTGTGGGTGTGTCCGTCAGCTTTGCAAGACGTTAAAGGGTGTAATCCCAGCACAAGTTGCCATGTCTAGCATAGCTTGTTCGCTATCATCGCTTCAGCAATGGGCAGGAGAATGAATATGAGTTTGTGTCCAATGACCTGCAAACACCTCCATCGCCGAACAAACTCTCGGCTGCACTAAAACAATACAGTACTGCCAACATTTCGCCCATTGGGCATTATCAGAGCGAGCTTTAGGGACACGTTTAATTCCCGTAGCTATGCAGAAGACCTTTACTTCAGTAACGTCTGGCGCTAGCCAGGGTCCACACAGCTTTAATTTGGTATTTGTTTGTTTGTGTGTTTGTGTCACGCCTGGCGCTATCCGTATCTGACGGATAGAAGGCATAGGATGTTATAAATTTTTCAATTCTCCAATTTTTGTTCAGGCCTACATGCATTCCCCCATACACTTCGCATTCATACCCATTCTTCCAAGTTGCTTCACGTTATTATCTTGCGTTTGAAAGCCCTATTTGAATATTGCGGGCAGCTAGAAGGTGTCGTATTACCCTCGATCGTACCTGTCCCGTACCTCCTGTCCCGTACCTATCCCCTACCGTACCGTGCCATCAAAGACGGCTGGCCACAATGCATATTCAAATAGGGCTTTCAAATGCAAGATCACAATGTGAAACAACTTGGAAGAATTAAAAAAAAGGATTTTTTTAAAGAATTTATAACATCCCTATGCTTTTTTTTGTCTAGGTCATCAAGGCAAAAAAGCGAAGCGTAGGGCCCTGAGCTTCCAAGCTCTCTCGTTCATGACTTCCTAACTCATCGTGTAGGAATGAACGGTATTAGTAAGAAAAATGGTGAGGAAAGCAGTGAGAAGTGATGAGGAGTACAGTGATCTGCACTTGTCATGACCGCATGGCAATACTTGGCTTGTAATATTAAAAATGTACTTAAAAATTGCTGACATTGTTGATAATAATACTGCAAGCGTCATATTCTGGAAAGATATTATCTTGGTGGCTTCTATCGAAAGCAGATACATGTAGATATGAAGAAAACGTGTTTAAAATAATGAAATAGTTAAAGGATAATCAGCAGCATTCGGCACAGGTTTGTCATCAACCACCATGCCGCAAATGCGCTCTCCAGTCACCTTCGACACGACGTTGAAATGGGTAAGTATGCGTGCGCATGAAGTATAAAGAAACAAACGTAGAATACAAGGCGATGAATTCTCTCGCAGGCCATGGAGTAAAACTGTCCACTTGCCATTAAGTCTATAACAATGACAAAAGCTATCGCGCACAATTGCAAGCGTTTGTAGTAAATAAAAAACCGGTTGAGGTACGGTACAATACTAAAAATGTAACACTGAGTAGACACAGTGCCCATATTGTGAAGCATGCAGAAAACTCCAGACTGATCTGGTGGTCAGTTTGCAGAGTACCGGATCTATGGACACAAATAACAGACTAAAACGTGACTGGCTAGTTGTGACTGTGAGTTGTTGACCCCAAGGCAACTAATATCCACTAAGCACAGCCAGAAATGTGTGTGAATCGTAAATTGTGTGTGCCACTGCATGCAGTATGATTGAAAAACAAAAACCTATGAAGTAGCCGTGCGGTTGTGATCTCTGTCAAGACAATCACTCTAGTGCAATTCAGTAGACAGTCTAACGTTTTGGGTGAGGTCAGGTTCTCACACATCAGGACACAGCGCGAGGGTGTCCGAGTAGGGGGGTGGTTCGGGCAGGCCTGCGTCTGGGTCGGCTGGGGCTGTCGGCATGACACGTGGCTGGGGCAGACCTGCTTTCGAGTCGGCTGAGGCCGTCGGCATGACACAGGGCTGGGGCAGACCTGCTTCCGGGTCGGCTGAGGCTGTAGGCATGCCGGGTGGAGAATCGTAGGTGGGTGTGTATGGTGGAGGACTGAGAGGTAGTTGGGTCAGTGTGTCCGCTGCGCACACAGTTGGACTTCTCTGGGTCGGTGCATTCAGGGGCGTCATGGTGTGCATGATACCAGGTGCCACGGCTGCAGTCACCACCACCGTCGAGGTCGGGCGGGCAGCGCTGCGGGCCGGATTGCACTGAGCCACGGCCACCACGTGGCAACGCCTGGTCGCTCTCGCCGTAGTTCTAGCGCCAGCCGGACGGCCTGCGGACACAGTGTGCACGCGACGATATTGATTGTACCTGTACCGGCGCGCGGCTACCATGCAGGGAAATATGAGGACAAAGAAGACTACAGAGGCGACGATGCCTCCCACACTGCCGCCGGAGAGACTGTCACTGTCACTGTCGTCGGAATTGTAATCGTAACCATTGTCTGCACAGAGCAACACAGCAACGACAGGTAGAGAAAATCAAATGTTAAACCCATGTGGCAAGGAGTCCAGGCCTGGCGTCTGGGTGCAACCCTTGGGTGTTGCAGTGCAGGGCGTGCAGTGGTACGAGGAATGACAAAACTAGTGTAATAACTTCTCAGCGTCAGGGTGGGGACAGAACATTTACGTTTCTCAAAATTTGAACCTGATACAACCTCGACGTAGTGTATCATGAATACACGGATCATATTAATTATTAGAATTACATGTACTTGTACAGTTTTGCTTTTCATTGGGCCATAAGAATTCCAATCTCTCCTTATTTACGGCGAAGCAAGAGTGATTGTTGTATAAATGCATTTAGAATTAAGGTTGAAAGTTTGCACTGAGATCTCGAGTTTCGGTTCTCTGGTTTTCTCCGATCGAATATTTGAGTATTTGAGAATTTTTCTTCTTCTCCTAAAAATGTACACCAAGGGCCTTTAAAACCACATGATACAACCCTGATCGAACCTATTGACAGTCATGTTTCTCGGGTATACTGGTTGGTGGGTCATTTGGGCTCTCTCTACACATGTACAACCGTTCACAATCCGCATATTAAGATCTGATCACTGCTGCTCTGAAACTGCAGATTTCTGTTGCAAACGCGTGTACGATGTATGAACGGATACTCTAATCTATTCCGAGTATGATCATTTTTTTTTAAATCGAGCAAGTGCTCGAATATTCGGCATAATGGCCCGTATATAATGCAGTACAGAGAGTACCCGATGTTCAGTATCTGATGGCTCTGTGATATTAGGTAAAAAAATCTAAAATCTAAATGAGCCAGGGACGATAGAAACCGCCCTACAGCGTTTGATAACAAAATCAATTTATGACGTTTCAAAGTCACGTGACTCAACGTTACACGAAGCGCAGAACTCGTCACTTTTGTTTTGACAAGACTCAAGAGCTGTCCTCTTGTTATTTTGATTCGGTGTTCAGTGAAGACAATAGGATTCCGAGCGACTGTGGAGTAACTCAAGAGGCTCCACTTTCTTTGATTGATTATGGCTACAGCATCTAGGAGACGACGCAGCTCGATTCTTCAGTTCGAAAACGAAAACGAAAAAGTGCTCCAAGCAGTTTGTTCTGGGCGCACTGATTGGAAGTATGCGAAAGTCGATGACTGGTGGTGGTGATCGATTTTATTTCCGCTTTCATGTACGTGATTACGAGTTGTGCAAAGACGTGTTCATTGCAGTTAATGCTGTTGGAAGTCATGTAATGAAGCGCCTTCAAAAAAAGGCAAACAAAGGAGTCGGTCAACTGGCACACCATGGCTTGACTGGAGAACACCAGAGCACTTAGCCATTTCAGCAGACATAGAGCAGGATGTAGTGCAGTTTATTTATTCATATGCTAACATGTACGGTCTACATCAACCTGCAGCGGAGCGAGGTCGTGCTGAGGGCCCTCCAGTATACTTACCAGCATCCAAGAACAAGAAGTCTGCATACAACATCTATACCAAGGCCGTCACACAGTATCACCTGTTCATTACAGTTCATTTTGCCGCATTTGGAGGAGACAGGCAGCACACATCAAAGTGATGAAGCCAAGGACAGACGTATGCGCACTGTGTGACAAGCTGCGGGACAAAATTCGTGTCGACCATACAGAGGAAGAGACGGGATGCAGTGTCCAGGCCCTGTGTTCGCACACATCACTTGCACAAGAGGAACGGCAGTACTCCGGAGATTTAGTGGACGGCACGAAGGCGTCACTGGATGAAGCTTGGGGCATAGTTCACTATACATTTGAACTGCCTAACTAGCAAGAATGAAGACATACAAAGAACATTACAAACTGTGTACATAAATTTGCTCTATATCGCTCAATTTACATGACATTATTAAATAGGTGGTTAGGCACATTTTACCATCGCAGATCAACTTGAAATTTTGTTTGAGCACATAACCATACCATACCAACATTTTGAGAGAAAACATTTTTTTCCGCCAAAAGTGCCATAGGCTGGTTTCTGTAGTCCCTGGCTAAAATATTAAAAATATGCTGCACACAGTAGCTCACCATCCGTGAACTGACACTGGCTCCCGTAGTAAGCCGCATTGCATGCACATGTTGCGTCTCCCGATGTATCCGTACTGCAGACGCCGTTGTAGTTACAATAGCCAGGCGTGCAGGCTACATAATAAACACAGGACAAGCATCATCACCAAAAATATTATGGCAGGCAAGGAATTATCAGAAAAAGGGCAAGAGTGCAATTGTAGTCATCGTCTGCACAGGGCAAGACACTACCAAGAAGTACAGACATCAACGGTTGAAGACATGTGGCAAGATTACAGGCCTGGTGTCTGGGTAAACCCCTTGGGTGGTGCACTGCAGGGTGTGCACATCAAGTACAGTTCATACTTGCAGACCTAGATGAGCCAACATCACATCATCATCAAATCAGATCCGTCACAAGGAACAAAGGGCGAAGTCGACGCGATCACTTTGAGGGCAAGAATGACGGCATACTCACCGTCGCTAGAGACGTAACCATTGTATGCACATTGGTCACCCGAATAGCCGGAATAACAGGCACATGTCTGGTCTCCCATTAAATCATAACTGCAATCACCATTGAAGTTACAGTAGTCGTTGGAAGTACATGCTGCAGACAAACAGACCAATGCCAGGAGAGGGTGGTATAACAAACTGTGTGAGAATGGGGGGGGGGGGTAGTCAGCATTATTAGAACTCCTTGAGGCTGGCTCTGACAAAGCGTTTAAGTCGTCTATTAGCAAAGAGAATGATCTAAGGCAACAGGATACTGAGTAGGCTCTGAGTACTCCATTCCTGAGGAACACGTTGATGATGGGAACATTGACTACCCATATGGTATGGGACTAACGAAGCAGGTGAAGATTCAAGGTGTCAAGGACCTCGAGATTTCCCACGATCGTGATGGACCAGAATTCCACGCCACTCATAATAATAATAATAATAATAATAATAATACGTATTCGCATGCAACGACGCAAATCCACACAATTCAGTAGACACTTTTTCTATCAAACGTTCTCTATATAGTTATGTGTATATAGTTCTCTATATAGTTCTCTATATAGAGAACTATATAGTTCTCTATATAGTTATGTGTTTTTCTAATTTCCAACATTCCCTGTACTATCCTGAAGAGAAGGGAAAGAAAACGTTTGATAGAAAAAGTGTATATAGTTCTCTATATAGTTCTATATAGTTCTCTATATAGTTATGTGTTTTTCTAATTTCCAACATTCCCTGTACTATCCTGAAGAGAAGGGAAAGAAAACGTTTGATAGAAAAAGTGTCTACTGAATTGTGTGGATTTGCGTCGTTGCATGCGAATACGTATTACGAAACTGTTTTTCCCACCGCCTCCAAACTACTGTTTGAATAATAATAATAATAATAATAATAATAATAATAATAATAATAATAATAATAATAATAATACGAAGTAGTGGTTGCGACTTCGGCAATGCTTTGTAAGAAAGGGTTTGCTCCCCACACCGGAGTTCGCGCTATTCCGCCGGGAGTGGTGCTTTCTTGCAGGTTTGCCGAGTCGAAGGTTCGATGGACTTCTCGTGTGCTCTGGATGGCAGTCGTGAGTCAGTCAAGTGTCAAGTAAAGTCGGCGGAATAGCGCGAGCTCCGGTGTGGGGAGCAAACCCTTTCTTACAAATAATAATAATAACTTTATTTGGATGACCCAAAGGCTGACCGCCTATCGTGGTCATGTCTAAGGGTAAAAGGAGGCATCCATGAAATATGTTATGCGTCGCTCCTGCCCAGTCTGCCAGCTGTCGTGTGGTGACTTGTTATCCTTTTGGATAGAAGGGACAGTTTAGGAGTGCTGTTCTGTGTGCAACACTGTTCAGTACAGAATAATGTAGAAGTAGAATGAAATTTTGTTTTTCCTCTGGGTTTTTTTCCACTCACCCGTGTGCCTATCCCAGGAAATGTTTACAAATATAGTCACACATTTTGTTGCCCTGTTCGCAATGACTCCTCCCTAGTTATGGAGCTCATGAACGGCCACACAAGCTGTGCGCGAGACTCGACAAGTATGTTGTGTGATCGGAACAGTTAAAAATTGGGGACAGGCTGCAGAACCTTTACCCAGGGATACACAATGCCCCCTTGTTGGCCGAAGCTTGCCATAAAAAGTTCACTCACGGCGACTATAAGTTGTGCAAAAATCTCCCGTGTAGCCGGTGTAGCACGAACATGTCCGCGGTCCAAACTCCGAACTGCAAGCACCGTTGAAGTTACAGTAGCTGGAAGTGCATGCTGCAATCAACGGAAAAGCAAATGGAGGAGACAAGATGAGGGTAAACAGTGACACAAAAGACGGAGAGCTTGAAATCAACAACCACAATAGACATGGGAAGTTATGAAGTTTGAAGGTACAGGAAGGTATGGCAGGGGGCAAAGATTAACGAAAGTGAGAGTTCAGTGCAAGAACATCCAGCAGTGTTACCATGGTTACTACAAGCACCATGTCGAAAGCTGGTCTTCAATGTAGTGTTTCGTGATTTAGAGTCGGATGTGCACAGAAACTCAATCGTACTCGATGTAGGACCGTCAGGCATTTCGACACCGCAGACAATTGGCATGGGCCCATTTCTACCCATCGCATTCTTACATGTCGAGGTGTCGGTGAGGGATTCACATAGATCACCCGTGTATCCGGAGTAGCAAGAACAAGTCGCCAATCCAAACTCGTAACTGCAATCCCCATGGTTGTTACAGGTACTAGAAGTGCAGGCTATAAGGTAAAGACAAACGAAGAAGAAAGACATTATACACAGCAGCACCACTGATGCCAGAGAAGACACACACACACACACACACACACACACACACACACACACACACACACACACACACACACACACACACACACACACACACACACATACACACGCACACACACACACACACACACACTAGCTGCACGGGCCAAAAACGTGACACAAATGTCACAAACAAAGCTCACGCACTGTACCAATGTCAGGTACCTTCTCCTGTATCCTTTTCCTGTTGGCCTACAATCACCTCTTCTTCCATTGGCCTGGATAGCTACTTACGTGCCAATAATTACCATAGCTACCCAGGCCCTTTATGTAACACTTGTTCTCTCTCTCTCTCTCTCTCTCTCTCTCTCTCTCTCTTTCGTCATCAACATGTAGTGTTTCGTTTTGTCTCTCCTCTATCCTAATAAAAGTCGTCTTTTCACCTGCCTGTCCCTTGTCTCGTGGCGAGATGGAATTATGGGTGAGTTTAGTTTTCAACACCGGCCCTCGAATCATCCGTACTCCCTCCCATCGTAACCCACCCCGGGTGCAGGCACGGTATGAGGACACTGTCTGTTGGGGTGGGAAGTCCAATCCAGCACCCCTGCCTTTCCAGGACAGTGCCCTACCGATTAGGCTACCGGGGATCACACACACACACACACACACACACACACTCACTCACACACGCACACACGCGCGTGCGCGCTCGCACACACACACACACACACACATACTACTACTACTACTACTGACAGCTGCCAGAAATGGCCCCGCCGCTCCCCAAAGGGAGGTACTGTCAGAGAGGTTAGGGGAGAGGTAGGCAGTGCTGCAAATGGTGCTCCAGGTCCTGTCGCCTCCGAAACTGGCGTTGATTACAGACTCGGCAATGATGTCCAAAGTGCTGGCGATCAGTCACTGTAGGGCGCTTCGGGCGGGGTCCACAGCGATGGCGCTTGAGGCCAGCAGTAGACTTGAAAGTACGCTGGCAGGCAGTACACACCGGGACCTCGGCAACAGGAGGAGCATCAAAAGGCGGTCGGTCGTCACAGTTGTCACTCCCTAGGCACTTATGCACTGCAAGCCCACCCCTGCTCCGGAGCCATCAACTGCAGGCAGGACACTGCACCGACCCAGGCTGCTGTGATACGGGGAGCTGTCGGACTGCTGTGCACTTGTGCCGGTCCATGTCGGCGCGCCGACGAAACAGGCGGCCGCAAACGTGGCACACAATTGTCTTCGGGGCAGGCTCCTTCACCCCCGCTGCTGCCGACATTATGTCACGCCGCTCTCCGCGATCGTTGGCTGATTGGAACCAATTGTGCACACCGGGCACAGTCAGATCAGCCTGGACAACGTCCTTCCAGCGATGTCGGAGGCCGCAAAACGGGCACACCCATACACACACACACACCCGTGGCTCCTTCTTGCTACACTACTCACCAACAGGCGGTGTCGTCACACCGTACCATGGGTCGTGTTGCTATTTACCGTGTTTAACAAACAAACACATACGAGTCGTAACATGCGGCAAGCTGCCATGATTCACCGAGGTACTATTCACTCACTTGTCGAGTCTGTAGTGTATTCGCAAGTATCCCCTGTGTACCCTTGGTAACATGTGCACTCTATGGAGTTGTAGAGGCCCGAGACCTCCGTGCACGTTCCCCGGGAATTGCACGGGGCAGGGTCAGAGCAACCTGTAAGAATAACACATGATACACATGATCACACATGATCACACATGAGCACACATAATCCCGCATGATCATACACGAGAACACATGATCAGATCACACATACGACTAATCACACACGATCCCACAATATCGCACATTGTCACTCATTGTCACACATAATCAGACGAGTTCACACATAGTCACACCTAACCACAGATGAAAATCACGAATAAACACTCTTTCGAAATAAATTGCATGAATCGTACTAACTGAGGCCTTTGTGGAGGAAGAACCTGAGTTTTAAATATAATATCCGAAGGTCTAAACCATTCCCAATATCATATTATCTTCTTCCCTCGCTTTCTCTCTCTCTCCCTCTCCCCTCTCTCTCTCTCTCTCTCTCTCTCTCTCTCTCTCTCTCTCTCTCTCTCTCTCTCTCTCTCTCTCTCTCTCTCTCTCTCCTTCTCTTTCTCTCTCTCTCTCTCTCTCTCTTTCTCTCTCAGGAGGAGCAGAAACGGAGATGACGACTCAGGTCACTCTGTCGACGGAACTGACGGTTGCAGCGAGAACAGCGAACACCATATGACGCTCTATCAGACTCGGTTGCTCGATGGCCACGGTCGCACTTGTGACGTCTGAAACCAGGCACTGACTTGAATTGCCGATTGCATGTCACACACAAGAGAGAAGCTGGGACGTTGAGCGGAATAGGTGATGTCGGCGCGGACGCTTCCGATGGTTCCAGGGGAAAACAATGATGTACACGCAAGCCACCACGAGAGTGAAACCACCTCCTGCATGTGTCACACTGCACAGCACCACAATGATCCTGGATGGCGCTACACTTGTGTCTTGCTTTGTCACCTGGCCGATGAAAGGAACTTTGGCAGATAAGACAGTTCACCGGTTGAGATTGGTCATGGGAAGGACCGCCAAGGCTCGGCTCAACGGCAGACACCCGCCATGCAGACCGATCCTGAGCAATCCCATACCAAGCCGGATGGTCAATGCCGATGTGCCGAAGATCAGCCGAAATCACATCCCTCCCACGACGACGGGGACCACACACAGGCCGAGGCGACGGTAGGAAGCCAAACAACAGCTGCCTGGGCACACGAACATCCGGCATGCGGGCCACATGGCCAAGCCATTCAAGCCTCCGCTTCCGAAGCCGGGAGGATAATAGCGATGGATCACCCCACATCTCTCGGAGCTGCCCATTGGTGATGCGTTCCTCCCACTGTTGTGTTCGCGAAACACACAAGATGCTACGTATGCGTTGGTGGTGGAAGCTATCGAGGCGCACACACACACACACACATACTTCCTCTGCGCCATTAAGAAAGTCGCTTCGCACATCGCAATGGTTCTGACTTGCTCGTCTTAGTCAGATTGTCGGAGTCCCTGTTTTCTGTATTCGAACATTGGTGGTCTCAGAGCTCTCGTCCACACCAAACAATTCATCGCACTCCTCACTATTTCGCACCTGAGCACGTATCGGTTTTGAGGAGTTTCTTCCGTCCCACATCGTTCGCCTGGACTTTTATCAAGACGGCAAGCTCGGGTATAAGAATCCTGGTATCTCGCCTGAATTGTTTCCACGGCCGCGCTCCTTTTCCAATCGGTTTCACAGTTTACACAAGAACGAAAGCGTTTTGGAAACGTTTCAGATTAGTTTCAAGTGCGTTTCCATTTCGTTCCGTTTCGGTTGCGTTTTTGAGAGTTGTCATGTAAATGATAGTAGCAAACGCAACGATTTCGTTCCGTTTCAGTCGTACTTTGTTGTCATGTGAACTCAGATCGTTGTCGTGTAAACGCAGCCTGAGGGTGACAACTAATGCGGTAGTAAGCATCATCCAGAATTTGGCTCAACAAGAGCTGGACGTTCGCTGACCATGATCAACCTCCACATCAATTTATAATAATAATAATAATAATATCTTTATTAGGATGACCCAGAGGCTTGTCGCCTATCAAGGGGTTTACCGCTTTGAAGGGTGTACATGTACATGTATGAGCTAAAGTGAAAGTAGTGGAAAGTAAAAGTTGTGCAGCGTGAATGCGTTGGGGAGCACACAAGGGGGGTTACGTATGTAATGGGTAGCCGAGTGGTAGGCGCGGTGTAATCAACAATAATTATCTTTTATTCTATTTCTTTCAGGTACACACCTGAGATATACATATTAGTGAAAGAAGAAGCGGCAAATAAATAACTTTCTCTCCGGTGCTCACCTAGAGGCTGATTTCTTCTTCTTCGAGTTAGCTTTCGTTGCTATCTAATCTAATCTTCCTCAAAAAAGAAATGCGCAGCCGCTTTAATGCAGCAGACGCCGTACGCTTACATACGGAGATACACTAAATATACATCAGGCAAAGCTCCGTATTAGTTCCGTACTACTTCCGTATTGGTCGGGCAGGGATACTACACGTACATGGCGTGGGCATACCGGAGAGCGAAGCACTACATGTATGTTTGCAAGTGAGTTTGCGAAGCTCATTCTTGAAAACAATAATGGATGGTTCTGCAGTTAGTCTTGGTGGGAGGCAGTTCCATAAGAGGGAGGTTTGGAAGAGAAACAACGATTTTGATGTGGTCTTTGCTTTAGGGAGAATAATTTTGTTTGGGCGTCTCGCACTCTGTGTGATATTGAAATGGAATGAAGCCAGGCAACGTCGATACTTGAAAATAAATTTGTGCATGGTAACTAAGCTTATAAACTGCCTGCGGTAAAGAAGAGATTTAATGTTAGCTTTTTTATTAAGATCCTGCTTGGGTGTATTAAAGTCGATTTGGATTTTGCGTTTATGATGGCTGTTGCTGCTTTTTCTATTTTCCTTGCCACGTATCGCGGGTCAGTGGCAAATGGTGTGCATCATGTGGATGGGCTGAAGGCATGACTATACATATGCGGGGAAGTAATGACCCCTTCCCCTTGATTATGGAATTCCCTGCGCCCCTGAACAATCGTGCTCCCTAACATGCATGTGGATACGTGCTCGACAAAGCGCGCACACACACACGTACACATGTCTCTCTAGCTCAAACACATACCGGTATCCATACGCTACAGCATTATTGGATTTCAGCTGCACAAGTCTGCATGCACTCAAGAATGTCAATTTTTTATGGTCGGACTCAGTGAAATGTCAAAAGCTACTCCACCGGAGCAGTATTGAATAACAAATAGGCATACTGCAGTTCATACTTACTTGCACCACGGGATCCACTTAGCGCTGACATTAGCAGGAGCACCGCAAAGGCTAGAGAGTGGGACCTATCCATCTTTCTGCAAAGTCAAACAACTTTTTTCAGGCTAGGGAAGACGCGAGATGCTCGGCAACAAAATTCAGAAGGAACACGGCTCAGTCGTTCAGCTGACAAACAACCGGCGACTACTAGCCGCGACAATGAATGTCCGAACAAAGCTATTAGAAGCTGGAGAGCCACGGGCCAAGCGCTAGCTAAAAAAAGGTCACGGACCATCAAGGCATCATTCCCTCCTCATCCTGCTATTCCTGAAATTCCAAGTCAGTGCATAGCGGAGTGCACTCGGTGTTGATCCGCACCGCACTACTCATCGACAGACTAGAACCCAGCAGGTAAGAATCTTTCCTGACGACGATGACGGCATGTCACGAGACTGAGGATTTGGCAGAGCCAGAACTCAGAAGTGTTCAAATGATGCACCATAATTATCATGTAAAGACTAAGTCATCAAGACTAGTCATAATCATACTCAAAACAGCCAACCGGGTGGGCACCACATGGATTCACAGGAAGCATGCGCTTCGAAGTTTGAACACACTGAGGAGCATGTAATGACTTTGTCTTTGTTGAACAGTCTGCCACGCTTACAGTCCATTTCAAAACTATAGACGCGCAGGGTTTTTGAAATATTTCAAATTTGGCTTGAACTTTTTGAGAATAGTTTTCGGAATATTGCTCAGGTCCGCTCCACAATTACTCTCATTATAGTTTCTAAACGATTGGATAACAGACGCCCAATTTGGAAAAATTTATGCACAAAGTGATCACAGATTTTATGTGGTATAGATGCTGGCATAACGGTTTTTGCCTAGGTACGCGTCTATAGTTTTGAAATGGACAGTAGGCTTTCCCCAAATCGGCCGGCCGAAAAATTCGCCGAGAACGAGACTTATCGAAAAATCGCTAAGCCTTTCGCCGATTTGGGAGGGTTCCCTTGAGAATCGCCGAAAATCTACCAAAAGTAGAAATAGAGCGGTTGTCAGTTGACAAACCCCCTTATATGTTTTGTTCAAAAAGTGGTGGACATCACGCGACATTCTGTGGAATGAAATCCAAAATCGGAGCGATTTTGCAGCGTCTTAGCGCAAATTGTTTCGAGTTTTCCACAAGGACACAAGCTTTCCAACTCTGTTCGGCCGTTGGAAAGCGTACCGTCTTACCCCGGTACGCCCGAAGTGAGTTCCACTGCGTTCCCGTAGAATTTAGGAATCTCCAGCGCAACGCAGTTGGTATTACCAAGAGTGTATAAACAAGAGTATGCAACTGTGGTTATGGCCCAGTGCGCGGCCGCTGCCTTCATTACGTAACTTGCCTTCATCACGCTCTGAAAGCATGCATTCAAACTCACATTTTCTCGTAGGAGCCCATCCGTTTTTGCTCGATTCGTTCCAGTACCTACGCGATCTCTGAATTCTGGCGCGTGAACTCCAGTTCCGTACGAAAGTTCATTTCAAACCAGAGGGAAAGTGCGGTGTTTGATTTTCCGCAGTGCGCGGACTGCAGCTGAATGATGTAATGAAGGCAGCGCGACGCGCATCTGGCCCATAGAAAAGAGATCACAGTTGCATACTCTTGTTTATGGACTCTTGGTATTACATGTACATGTAATCTAGGTACATGTCATGGTACTTAAGTGCTGTGTATCAAGATTTCTATTGTATAAAAAACACCACCAGTTACTTTACAATAAGCTCATGCGATAACATTGCACGACACTGACCGACGGTACTTACGTTCTACAACTAACTGGCTAACAGCTCTAGCACATCTCGGATACGCATTCCAACAGCCTTCCAACTTGGAAGGTTCCAAGTAGTTATAATGATAACATAGGAGGGGGAGGTGAGCGCAACCCAGACAAGCACGAGCTGAAAGTCTCAGCTGTGAAGGACGTTGGCGGATGTTCATGAGCGTAGATGATTTGTTCCTTTTTCTTTTCTATACATGTATTCTTGGCTCTCCAGCCGAGTCCATAAATTTCAGAAGTAATGATAGACATTGAGGAAGGCTTCAATAATTTGTCCGCTTTGTGACAGGCCTAACACACGCACACACACACGGTTTTATTTGTTACTCCTTTTCACCGTTAGCAGTAAAACTTGCTGTCAACGTGCGATAAACAGGTTTAAAAAACCTCTCTTGACCAAATTGACAGCGTATGCAGATGCCAGCGCACGGCTTACCCCGCAGTGTGTAGTTCTCCATTGAGAAATGAAGGCATGCTCTTAGTAAGGATAAAACGGAAATCTTGACAATACACACAGCACCGAAGTACTATGACATGCACGTAGATTACATGTTTGTTTGTTTGTTTGTTTGTTTTTTGGCTATTATTCACAAACCCAACTCGTAAAACAAATAATTATATGGACAAAAACAAACAGCTACTGAGTAGGGGCTGCACTGGGCAGCAGTGATGGTGAGGTACCAGGGGCTCCACCGACCAAAGGTTTCGGCTTCAATGCCACAAGCATGTAAATGTACATGTAATACCAACTGCGTTCACGTCGCGATCATAATATCAGGCTGGTTGAATGACGTGTCTCATCGCTGGTGATTCCTAAAATTCTAGGGGAACGCACTGAAACTCATTTCGTGCGTACCCGGGTAAGACGTACACCTGCATGGGGCCGCATGAGTCAATTTTGGATAAGAAGTACTTAGAATACTACAGTGTTGGCAACTAAAATCCGACCCCTGGACAGTGCATTCATATTCTGGCAGTCTCTATTTCCTAGCTTTACAATCCCCCGTCGGGTCTTTGCGATGTGAGCGCACCGCTCAGTGGTCGGATTTCAGTTGCCAGCACTGTATTTTTTCCACTCCACAGCAGTACGCCTTATCCGAGTTCCACAAAACCATAAAGGGCGATTGAGATCAAGCAGTCCTTCAAGATTGTCGTGACCGCTAAATGTCACAGCCTGACAGTAATTTGATAGGACAGGACGCGTGGTTGTCACTGTGCCGAAGTTGTTGTTTAGGTTTTCAAGTTGGCACTGCCATTGCACCTCATGCAACTATTACTTGAGGTGCCAAACCATGAGTTGGACAGGAACAATTACTGCATTATGTTAGCAGCATGAACAGTGCTGGCAACTGAAATCCGACCCCCTGAGCGGTGCGCTCACATCGCAAAGACTGTGAACCCACCGCTCAGGGGGTCGGATTTCAGTTGCCATGACTGTATTACTATAAGTCAACAAGATTCGGCGCATATTTCATTTTCGGTTATTCTCGGCCTGGTCATGTTCGGCGGAAAATTTGTTGCGGCCGAAATTTGGTTTTGCATGGTTTAGGGTGACAGTGTATACAGGCGGCAGGAGTACAGGCCGACAATTTGATGCGACCCAGAATGGGTTTTGGCCCTGGGAGGCCAAAATTCGAATGGGCCGAACATTTGTAGACTCACGGTGCAGGCATGTACACTGTAAAGGCGCTGAGATTGGCATGAGCACATTGTCACAGTCTAATCAAGATGCCACTATAAGGTTATCCATTCTACTCTGAGCCTGCAGTACTATCTAGTGTGTGAAATTCATTGTCTCGGTAACAGTGCATGACTTTTACACAAGCATGCGACGTTCTCTGTCGTGCCTGTTACTATTACTAACGTGCGGACCTTGTATGTGAACATAGCTTAGGCTCATCACACAGCACTGGCCATGACGCCACCATGGCAATAATGGGTTACTGGGTGTTGATTAGACGTCGGCGGATAATGCTGGAAAATCACACGGATTCTGCTTCTCAGTATGCTGGAAATATGCTCTGAAAATCACTAAATTATGCACTAATTATGCTTCATGACACCGTGCTCTTTCATGTTTATTATGTCACTAACTTGTACAGAATGTGTACACAGGATCAAATATGGACTTCCGGAGAAAACTGCATGGAAGAAGGTCTAGTCTCAGCTATGGAGAAGAAACCAGGATACAGCAATAGGCACTGCAACATCAATAGAAGCATTATTATGTACAGAAAAAAATAGAATAGGATGCATACTCACTGCAGTGACTTATGCCTGACACTGCATTGACAACATCACTTCAGATATGCATTTTGGGAGTAAAATGTGCAAGAAAGAGCCATGCGTGTGTGTGTGTGTGTGTGTTTGTGTGTGTGCGCGCGCGTCTGTGTCTATGTGTGTGTCCATCAGTCTTGCAAACTGTTGAACGGTGTAAACCCAGCACAAGTTGCCATGTCTAACATAGCTTGTTCGCTATCATCTCTTCAGCATTGGGCAGGAGTATCCCCAAACAAACTCTCAGCTACACAAAAACAATAGTTGTGCCAACATTTCGCCCATGTAGCATCATCAGAGCGAACCTTAAAGTGGCAGACTACCCCAAAATTCGCTGAATAATCGAATTTGTAAACTCATATCGAGTGCTACGTCAGTTGAAAGAGCATGAATAGGTGCAGAATCTCGGAACATTTTGTCTCGAACTGACCAGCCGTTCAAGAGTTATGGCCGAAATTGTGCCGTTGCAAGGAAAGAATTTTTTTATTGACCGCTGTCATTTGTTGGCAGCACTGTATTTGACCGTGCGCAACTTGTCGTATCATGGAAACACGCGAAAGTGTGCAGAATGTTGCTCCAAGTCCAAAAAAATCACGTTAAAAAAACACGTATTGGGCTGCATGCACGGCGCCGTGCAGTAGGACTTTTGCCAGCACCCTCGTGACGTTGCAGATACATGTACATGTATGTGGCTTGATTGTTGTAGTTGCCGTTGATTTTAGGCCTTGACAGATTATGCTAATATTGTCGTGAAATTATGCTTTTGCATTGCTGAAAAAATTGCAGAATTATGCCATCTTTATGCTAAAAGTTATCATATTATGCTGCATTATGCTCACATATGCTGCTAATGTATAATGGTTCTGTGCAAAATAACAGGGGAATTTTTTTGTAGAGGGCGTTGTACTGTAGTAGCAAACGTTTAACGGGGTCAACGCACCGTCCGACCTAGCTACGACCGTCACTGATTGTAGTGGACTGGACATTAGGCATCGGCGGCTAATGCTAGCATTATACATGTACATGTACATGTAACTAGCATTATGGGTGTTTTGAAGAAGTAGCAGTGCTCGGCATTAGGTGGCATGTTTTTGGCTGGAGAAAGCATTATCAGTTCTATTTTGGTACAATACAAGACTTTTTACACGTCTTTTCACATGACAAGAGGCTTGTACAGACAGTGTACCGACACTCTTGCAGCAGGTACATGTATGATGTATCTGTCTAGTGTGGTCATGCATATACAACTACACTTCCTTATCTCAGTATGAGCCAATTGTGGATACATTTCTTTTCCATGTGCATATTTGCCCAAGATAGCTCGAAAATGTACATATCACTCTAGCATTATAGTGTGACTGGAGCATTATAACAGGCATTATGCCGTGAAATATCGAGCACTGCCAAAAGCATTATACTGTGACAAAACGAGCATTAGCCGCCGAGGCCTACTGGACATGTTATCAAGGGAGTCGTAAACCTACAACTTCCTGGTGCATCTACTTGTACTTGTACTTGTAGAACATGGAATTTGATGCGAATATGCGGATTATTCCCGATTTTACGCGATTCGTATGCAATTTGCCTCGAATTATGCGACTATTCGATTTTTGTAGGAATTATGCGAAAAATTATGCTAGCATAATCTGTCAAGGCCTAGTTGATTTAGTGACTTTGGCAAGTTTGAGTCGTGTCAAGAAGTCAAGTAGGATTCAGTACTAGGCAGTAGTGGAACATGAGTGGTAGTCTTTGCCGATTTTTGAGGGTATCCTGGATTTGGCGGGCAGCGCTGTGGAAATGGCTTGCTGTGGAGATCCCAGCACTGAATGTTGTAACAAAGGTACGACCTCTTAGCACACCCTAAACCTAAACAAATTCAAAAATTGACTTCGGTCTGTAGGATTCTGTGAGAGAACGCCCACTCGTGCCAGTGTGATAGATTCCAGGGCCACCGGCGTTGAGGGGCCACCACCCCCCCCAGGGCTGCTTCTGGAATTGTTTTAGGTTTGGATCCGGCGCACGGACAGAATGGGCAAAAAAATGTGAAAAAAATTGTAAATGCATTTTTTTGGCTCCTGAGTGGCTCGCACACCGTGGCACTATGCCGGGATTTTGAGATTTTCAAGCCTGTCAGTGAGGCGCAAGAACTTTTAAAGGGAAACTGAACGCCAAAAATAAGTATGGCTTATCCGAAGGAGAATTGGGCACTGATTCCGATGAGCTATGTCTCGAGCCGATCAGAGAAGAGGAACTGTGTCAAATTTCATAAATAACACCTCCCATATTTGGAAATTGGCCTTGATGACGTGCGTACTGCTTAGCTGTCACCATGCTGTGCATGTTCAGCAGTGTAATTGAATGGAAGAAAACAATTACTTTGGTGTTTTGCAGCTCTGTTTCGTTCCCTGACGGTAACCAAATCTAGATGTAGGAATCTGTTGAGCAGGAGAGTGACACATGTCTTCCCGAAGGCTGTCCAGGCTGCAGTGGTGATGAAGAAGACACGATCATCACCCGAGATCGATCGTAGCGAATTGGAAAACTCAAGGTGAATTTGCTTCCACTCCAAGGCAATGTCGAGGTATGAAGGGTGCTTGTACTGCCTTCCAAAGTGAAGAGGAGATGAACATGGCTTTGCATAGCTGTTGTTCTATGCCAACTTACCTACTCTTGCTGGTACCGTAGTGGCATATTGCAAATTTCGTGGACGAACAACTCTAGTCACTAGTGGCTAGTGAGCAACACTAACAGGTGAGATTTTTCAATTCGACAAAAATTGTTTTTGTTTGAGAACTGGCAGTGGCAGTCATTAGACTCAGTAGGTGTCTTTGCTGCTTCTTTCCCTTCATTCGTAGGGTTGTGCTTGAATAGTACAAGTGCTTGAAGTAAAATAAAATAAATAGAACATGTGGAACATAAATCTAATCAAGCATCAGTACATGTATTGCGAATTTCAACTTCAAAGCACATGAAATCACAATGATCACGAAGTTTATGTAATCAGGAGTACACCCTGTGTTCAACGAACACATACACACATGCTGTATTGCGCACACACATGTACACATGTGCGTGCAGCCCCACCCCATCCCACAGACACACGCATGCAGCGCGCACATCCATACACATGTGCGTGTACCCCCCCCCCCCCACACACACACACATTCCTACCCATACACATGTGCGTCCCCCCCCCCCCCCCACACACACGTGTGCACATACAGATACACAAACACACACGCACGAACACACACACACAAGATACGTGTAAGTGTACATGGTCTTCCTGGTGCAGATGCTGAGCCAGCACAATGGAAAATACCTCCATCAAGATGCTTGATCAAGTGTTGTGATAATGGCACTGTTAGTTTGTTTTTACAAAGAAGTGTGGGAAAGACTACAATGCATTATAATTCATAATTGTTCTTTGCCTTGTACTGTGCAGACCAGGATGCTTCGCTATCAACTCCTGGCTTTCCATCGGCATGGTGTTCAGCTGCAGCGGCATCTGGTCCGGGGAGTTCAAGTTGCTGGATGGCTGCACTGACACAGGATGGGTTTGCGTTGGCAATGCGATACGGCAGTCATCCCACATCACGAGCTACATGTTTATGTAATTTATATTGTCGCTCGTCCAGCAACGTCAAGGCTCTGCATGTAAACACAGGAGAACACCATAATACTACTCAGGGGATAATAATTTTGGATATCAATTTCGTGACAATTATTAGATTCACACAATATTCACAACGTATGCAACACGATGCTGTCTATTGACACTACTTCAAACTGAAGTGCTCACTACTCCTCTCCCGTTTTCATCTCCCTCTACCTTATGAATACTCTGCATTACTGGTTTCGTTTCTACCTTTTCCATTGCTGCCAGCTCCCAGTTTTTTTCAATGCACAGCACCACCTTGACAGTCATTTTTGTGATTTGATGTACACATACTTTGAAGTTCAAATTCGAATTACATGATCAGATTTTTGTTCCACATTTTCTATTTATTTTTACTTCAAGCACAACCCTACCGATGAAGGGAAAGAAGCAGCAGAGAGACACCTACTGAGTCTAATGACTGCCACTGTCAATTCTCAAACAAAAACATTTTTTGTCGAATTGAAAAATCAGTATTTAGTTCTCTACAGTGGTGTAAATTACCGGTGTGTATTTTTCTAGAAAATGCAGTGAATATACACTGGCCGAGGCTCTGAGTGATGAATTGAAGTGTACATCATGGTACTAGGTATAACACTGAGTAAATACACAGTGCCCATATAGAAGCGTGCCGAAATCTCATGACTGATCTGGCACAAAGTGTTCAGAGGATCGGAACTGTTGACACAAATAACGGACTAGAAAGTGCCTAGGTAGTTGTGACTGGCGGTTGAATGCCTTAAGGCAATCCTTAGACAACTGATATTCACTAAGCGCAGCCAGAATTGTGCGTGTGAATCGTGAATTGTGTGTGCTACTGCATGCAAAATGATTTACAAAACGAAGACCTATGAATTAGCCGTGCGGTTGTGATCTCTGTCATGACAATCAATCACTCTAGTGCAATTCAGTAAACAGTCTAAGGTTTTGGATGAAGACAGGTTCTCACACATCAGGACACAGCGCGAGGGTTTCCGAATAGGACGGTGGCTCCGGCAGGCCTGCCTCTGCGTCGGCTGGGGCTGCCGCCATGAAACGTGGCTCGGCAGGACCTTCTGTCGGCTCGGCTGAGGCTGTCGACATGACACGTGGCTGGGGAAGACCTGCTTCCGGGTCGGCCAAGGCTGTCGGCATGCCGGGTGGAGAATCGTAGGTGGATGTGTATGGTGGAGGACTGAGAGGTAGTGGGGTCAGTGTGTCCGCTGCGCGCGCAGTTGAACTTGTCTGGGTGGGTGCGTTCAGGGGCGACACGGTGTGCATGATACCAGGTGCCACGGCTGCAGTCACCACCACCGTCGAGGTCGGGCGGGCAGCGCTGCGGGCCGGATTGCACTGAGCCACGGCCACCACATGGCAACGCCTGGTCGCTCTCGCCGCGGTTCTAGCGCCAGCCGGACGGCCTGCGGACACAGAGTGCACGCGACGATATTGATTGTACCTGTACCGGCGCGCGGCTACCATGCAGGGAAATACGACGACAAGGAAGAGTATGCCTATGACGATGCCTCCCACACTGCCGCCGGAGAGACTGTCACTGTCACTATCGTCGGAAGTGTAATCGTAATCATCGCCTGCACAGAGCAACACAGCACCGACAGGTAGAGGAAATCAAAATGTTAAACACATGTGGTAAGGAGTACAGGCCTGGCGTCAGCGCACAACCCTTGGGTGTTGCAGCGCAGGGCGTGCAGTGGTACGAGGAATGACAAAACAAGTGCAATAACTGCTCATCGTCGGGGCGGGGACAGAACATTTACGTTTTTCTAAATTTGAACCTGAGACATCCTCGACGTAGTGTTTCATGAATACACGGATCATATTACTTATTTGAATGGCAAGTACAGGTTTGCTCGGCATTGGGCCATATGAATACCAATCGCTCCACATCTACGGCGGAGCAAGAGTGATTGTTGTATAAATGCATTCAGAATTAGGCGTGAAAGATGGCACGGAGAGCCCGAATTCGAGTTCTCTGATCTTCTCCGATCGAATATTCGAGTATACGAGTATTCTTCTTCATCTCCTAAAAAATGTACACCAAGGGCCTTTAAAACCACATGATACAACCCTGATCGAACCTATTGACAGTCATGTTTCTCGGGTATACTGGTTGGTGGGTCTTTTGGGCTCTCTCTACTCGGGTACAACCGTTCCACACACAGTCTGCACATCAATGTCTGCCGATTGCTGCTCTGAAACTGCAGATTTCTGTTGAAAATGTGTGTACGATGTATGAACGGACACTCCGAACTATTCCGAGTATGATTATTTTTGAAAAAAAACAGATCGAGTACTCGAATATTCGGCATAATTGTTTCACGCCTGTTTAGAATGCAATACAGAGAATACAACCTGTGCAGCATCTGATGGCTCTGCGATATTATGAAGAAGAGGTTGGTGCGACTTCGGCAATAATTGGAGAAAAAATTGTGTGCTCTGGATGGCAGTCGTGAGTCAGTCCAGTGAGAATTCAAGTTGGCAGGAATAGCACAAGCTCCCACATAGGAAGTAACACACAGTTCTGTGATATTAGGTAAAAAATAAAAATATCAGAAAGATGCTGCACACAGTTGCTCACCATCCGTGAACTGACACTGGCTCCCGTAGTAAGCCGCATTGCATGAACATGTTGCGTCTCCCAATGTATCCGTACAGACGCCGTTGTAGTTACAATAGCCAGGCGTGCAGGCTATATATAAAACACAGGACAAGCATCATCACCAAAGGTTTATGTCAGGCATGGAAATATCAGAAAAACGATGACAGGGATGAGAGTGTAATCGCAGTCATCGTCTGCACGGGGCTAGACAGTACGGGCAAGTAGAGAAATCAACGGTTGAAGACACGTGGCAAGATTACATGCCTGGTGTCCGGGTTAGCCCCTTGGGTGGTGCACTGCAGGGTGTGCACATTGAGTACAATTCATACATGCATACCTATATGAGCCAACATCACATCGTCATTAAATCAGATCCGCCACAAGGAAGTCGAACTCGACGGCGATAGCTTTGAGGGCAAGAATGACGGCATACTCACCGGCGCCAGAGACGTAACTATTGTATTCACATTGGTCACCCGTATAGCCCGAATAACAGGTACATGTCTTGTCTCCCAGTGAATCATAACTGCAATCGCCATTGTAGCTACAGTAGTTGTTTGAAGTACAGGCTGCAGACCAACACACCAATGAAAACGAAAACACTTAGGCGTACAAGCCATTCAACTACGAAGTGGGCTGGAAAGCAATGAAGTCAGAAGTCAAAATCGGACGATAAATACCAACTTTTATACCCAGTGGTATACAGGTTTACGATATGGAGGATGGAACCTTGTGCCATGCGTCGGGGTGTGATTCTTCTGTAGCAGGAATGGTAAGGCTATACACAGTCCAGAAACTATCGGTGCTTGCGTAACTTTGATGTGAAGGAAAACCACCGTGACGTGTATGAATCTACTTTCTTCGCGTCATTAAATTCATCGCTTCGCATATCACAATGTTTGTGACTTGCTCGTCTTGGTCAGACTGTCAGAATCACTGTTTTCTGTGTTCGAATTTTCGCTCTGACCATTCCTGCGCAAAGTGTATCGTTTTCGGGATTTCGTGCCGCCCCACATCGTTCGCGTGGGCATTGATCAAGACTGCAAGCTCGGGTATATGAATCCTGGTATCTCTCCTGAATTCGAAATGCTGAAGTTGACGATGGCAAGAACAAAGTGTTCTAAAATTCCTATAATGCGCTACGTGTGGCGCATGCTGATGCGAAGGTAGCAAATCTGAAAACAGCAACACCACCAGTTAAGCACTTGCCAGGGAAAGAAGGTGCGGAACTCCTTACCCTATCCCGCTGGAAGAGCGTTACAGTGTAAGTGCAAAAATGATTGAAGGCTGTGGCTTTAGTGAAAAAAATGCTAGTTATCCATCCTTGCCTAGCCCCTTGAGGCATGGATCGCTTGAAAACGAAGTTTCCTGACCTGAATATGAACGCACATTTAGTTCAGCGTATTGTTGAGTGCTGAAGGGTCTGCCTCAAACTCCGATGAAGACTTCGACCTTAGCTGCAAGTGCTGCGAAGCGGGAGGCCACAAACAAAAGCTTTTTTTATGTTATGTTTTTACTGCATGCCACAGAACCATCAGATGCTGCACAGCGGGAGGAGGTGGCATATTGGATGGAAGTGGGGGCGGGGCAAAAGTAACTCCTCCGACCAAAGGTCTCGGAATCATCGTTACTCCTGCGCGCCGATACATTGGAGAAAAGAAACATGTGCACCAAAGAGGGCAACACCGGCTTTGGAAATGATAATGGGGAGAATTTGAGATTGAGATAGGACATAACAATAGTAAAAGCAGTGCACCGTAGGAAGATGGAGAGAAATGATAATCGCATATGAAGGCTTGGTCCGTCGACAATGCTCTGCCCCAATTTCTAGCTGATTTCTTTGCCCTTCGAGTGGGCGAAATGAAGTTCAAATCGCTCTGGGAAGAGACAATTGTGATGACGTGGAGGAAGTATGCATGGATCCAATAGTCCAACAGCAATTACACAAGCAATTTTTTCTCCGTCGTTACTCGGGGTTTTGTTTTTAAAGACACTCATCTTACGGAAGTGAAGGACTTGGTTGTGTCATATCGACTTTGTCCACCACACATAGACCACTATGCACAGGATCTTAGAAAACTATCTAAACTAGATCCAAGAAACAAAAGTCAGCATTATTATAACTCTTTAGGGCTGACTGGGAAATAGCGCTTTTAATTCAAGGCCTCCATTACTAAAGGTTATAGTCTATGCAACAGACTAATGCCCAGAACTTCTGAAAAAAAAAGGTGTGTTTCGCTTATCGATAAAATTAATGACATACTCACTTTCACCGTCAATATAGGAATCACATAATTCACCCGTGTAGCCGGAGTAGCATGAACATGTCTGTTGTCCAAACCCGGAAAGGCAATCACCGTTGTTATTACAGTAGCTTGAAGAACAAGCTGGAAATCAACACAACAATCAACACGATCAAGAAAGGTGATTCTGTAATGACGATAAGTCATACATGCAGCATATAGAAGCGAGCATAGACCACAATACACACTGGTATTAGAGAGGTTGCGCACAAAGAATATTCGTGGCGACGTAACGAATATTTTTTAACGAAAAATACTAGCGAATACCCAGCATCCCTGTTTTGTGAACAAAAGAAAAAAAAGTTCCCGAAGTCCGTAGTATGGGGAACCTTTGCCGAGGGCTGTAATATGGCGCTGTCTCCTGCCCACTGGGCTTCAACCTGCTACAAAAGGCATACTCACTGACAGTGTCTTGATAGTCATCGCAGAACTCGCCGAAGTAGTGCGAGTAGCATGAACATGTCTGCATTCCAAACTCCAAACTGCAATCACCGTTGAAGTTACAGTAGCTGGAAGTGCATGCTGCAATCAACGGAAAAGCAAATGGCGGAGAGAAGATGACGGTAAACAGTGACACAAAGGACAAAGAGCTTGAAATCAACAAGCACAGTAAACATGGAAAGTTATGAAGTTTGAAGGTATAGAAAGGCATGGCAGGGGGTCAAAATTAACGAAAGTGAGAGTTCAGTGCAAAAACATCCAGCAGTGTTGCCATGGTTACTACAAGTACCATGTCGAAAGCTAGTCTTCAATGTAGTGTTTCATGATTTAGAGTCGGATGTGAACAGAAACTCAATGGTACTCGTTTTAGGACCGTCAGGCATTTCGACACCACACACCATTGGCATGAGCCCATTACTACCCATCGCATTCTTACATGTCGAGGTGTCGGTGAGGGATTCACATAGATCACCCGTGTATCCGGAGTAGCAAGAACAAGTCGCCAATCCAAACTCGTAACTGCAATCCCCATGGTTGTTACAGGTACTAGAAGTGCAGGCTATAAGGTAAAAACAAACGAAGAAGAAAGACATTATACACAGCAGCACCACTGATGCCAGAGAAGACACACACACACACACACACACACACACACACACACGCACACACACACACACACACACACACACCCACGCCTTTTCTCTCTCTCTCTCTCTCTCTCTCTCTCTCTCTCTCTCTCTCTCTCTCTCTCTCTCTCTCTCTTTCGTCATCAACATGTAATCTTTCGTTTCGTCTCTCGTCGATCGTAATAGATGTCGTCTTTTCATCTCCCTGTCCCTTGTCTCGTGGCGAGATGGAATTAGGGGAGAGTTAAGTTTTCAATATCGGCACTCGAATCAGCCGTACCCCTGGCATCATAGCCCCCCCCCCCCCCACGTGTAGATGCGGTATGAGGGCACATCTTGTTGAATGGGCCAGGGGAGTGGTGTAGCAAGAAGGATCGACGAGCGGGAGTCCAACCCAGCACCCCTAACTTTTCAGGACTGGTCCGTACCGATAAGCCTACCGGGGATCACACACACACACACACGCATGCACACACGAGCGCACACACACATACACACATACAAACCCAAACACACACACACACACACACACACACCCGTGGCTCTGTCTTGCTACATTGCTCACCAACAGGCGGTGTCGTCACACCGTACTTACTCACGGGGTACCATGGGTCGTGTTGCTATTTACCGTGTTTAACAAACAAACACATATGAGACCTAACATGCGGCAAGCTGCCATGATTCATCGAGGTACTTTTCACTCACTCGTCGAGTCCGTAGTGAATTCGCACGTATCCCCAGTGTAACCTAGGTAACATGTGCACTCTATGGAGTTGTAGAGGCCCGAGACCTCCGTGCACGTTCCCCGGGAGTTGCACGGGGCAGGGTCAGAGCAACCTGTAAGAATCACACATGATACACATGATCACGCATGATCACACATGAGCACACATAATCCCGCATGGTCACACACGAGGACACTTGATCAGATCACACATACGAGTAATCACACAAAATCACACAATACAACACGTAATTACTCATGATCACACAAAATTACACATAATCACACATAATCACGCATAATCAAACATAATCACACATTACCACAGATGAAAATTACGACTAAACACTCTTTCGAAAAAAATTGCATGAATAGTGCCAACTGAGGGCCTTGTGGAGGAAGAACCTGAGTTATAAACATGATATCCGAAGGTCTAAGCGATTCCCAATATCATGTCATCTTCTCCCCTCGCGCTCTCTCTCTCTTTCGCACTCTCTCTCTCTCTCTCTCTCTCTCTCTCTCTCTCTCTTTGTGTTCCTCAAACTCTTACATGCCCAGCGACACTAACACACAGACGGGCGCACCTACACATGCAGACATATAACCTGGCAACACACACTTTGGGGATATACACACACACACACACACACACACACACACACAAACACACACACACACATACTTCCTCTGCGCCATTAAGAAAGTCGCTTCGCACATCGCAAAGTTTCTGACTTGCTTAGTCAGACTGTCGGAATCGCAGTTTTCTGTATTCAAACATTGGCGGTCTCGGAGCTCTCTTCCGCACCAAACAATTCATCGCACTCCTCACTATATCGCCCCAGAGCACGTATCGGTTTTGACGAGTTTCTTCCATCCCATATCGTTCGCCTGGACTTTTATCAAGAATGCAAGCTTGGGTATAAGAATCCTGGTATCTCTCCTGAATTGTTTGCATGGCCGCGCTCCTTTTCCAATCGTTTTCACAGTTTACACGAGAACGAAAGCGTTTTGGAAACGTTTCAGAATAGTTTGAAGTGCGTTTCCATTTCGTTCCGTTTCGGTTGCGTTTTTGTGAGTTGTCATGTAAATGATAGTAGCAAACGCAAATCGTTGTCGTGTAAACGCAGCCTGAGGGTGACAACTACTGCAGCAAAAAGCACCATCCAGAATTTGGCTCAACAAGAGCTGGACGCTCGCTGACTATGATCAACCTCCACATCAATTATGATGGCTGTTGCTGCTTCTTCTATTTTCCTTGCCACATATCTCGGGTCAGTGGAAGATGGTTTGCATCATGTGGGTGGGCTGAAGGCATGACTATACATCTGCGGGGAAGTAATGACCCCTTCGCCTAGATTATGATATTCCCTCCGCCCCTGAACAATCGTGCTCTCTAACATGCATGTCGACACGTGTTGGACAACACACACGCAAACGTACACATGTCTCCCTACCTCAAACACATATCCATACCCTACAGCATTATTGTACTGTCGTGGACATGGAAATCCGGTCGCACGCCTAGCAGCGCCAAGGCGCTGGCCATGCAGCCGTAGGTAAGCAGTTACACACATGCATGCACCGGTCAATCGAATGGATTTCCATGTCCACGACAGTATTTCAGCTGCACAAGTCTGCATCCACTCATTCAAGAATGTCAATTCTTTTTTATGGTCGGACTCAGTGAAAGCTACTCCACCCGAGCAGTATTGAATGGCAAGAAGACAATACTGCACTTCGTACTTACTTGCACTATGGGATCCACTTAGCACTGACATTAGCAGGAGAACCGCAAAGGCTAGATAAAGAGAGTTGGAACTATCCATCTCTCGGCAACGTCAAAAAACTTTTTTTCAGGCTAGAGAAGACGCGAAGGGCTCGGCAATAAAATTCAGAAGGAACACGGCACAGTCGTTCAGCTGACACACAACCGGCGACTACTAGCCGAGACAATGAATATCAGAACAAAGCTATTACTTAGAAGGTGGAGAGTCACGGGCCAAGCGCTAGCTAAAAAAGATCACGGACCATCAAGGCATCATTCCCTCCTCATCCTGCTACTCCTGAAATTCCAAGTCAGTGCATAGTGGAGTGCACTGGGTGTTGATCCGCTGCTACACTTGTGCACCGCACTACTCATCGACAGACGAGAACCCAGCGGTACAGTTTTGATGGAGATTCTGCATGCAGTGCAGAGTTTCCGTCTAGATGGCCTCAACTACAAAAATATTTTGGCAGTTCCAGATTATGGCGTGAACGCGTGCCATTCGTTTCTAGTAGATCTGCTACTGTCGTGGACATGGCCATCCGGTCGCACGTCTAGCGACCCCAGGCCCATGGCGCTGGCCATGCAGCCGCTGACAAGCTGTAGCCTGTACACTAGGGCTCAAACGATTAGTCCGATTAACCGGTTGCAGACCGGTTACGAAGAATTAACGGTTAGCCGATAAAGATAACGGTTACGCAGTAACTTTTCAGTCAATTTTTCAAGTATCAGGTCGTTGCAAAGTGTGCACTTTCGCGGGCTGTCGCACGCGTACGCAATTTCTGGGCTGTCAACTCCGTCATATCTGGTCTCTTGGTGTGAGAGTATGTATGAATGAGCATGCAAGAGAATGTACAAGTGTGCGTTGTACTGAATAGGGTACATTTTTTGAATGAGTATAGTCAAATATACGGTTAAAAAAGAGTCCGCAGGATTGCCGTGGCTTATAGGTTATAACCGGTTAACCGACCGTTAGCTTAGCAGTTAACCGTCAGGGGTAAAACCGTGACCGTTTGAGCCCTACAGTGTACACACATGCACTTATGGCATGCGCTGCAGCGCGCTGGTCGCATCGGATTCAACATGTGCACTGCACGCAGCGTTCTCGCCGGAGGGCGCCGGCCCCGGTCAAGCGACTGGATTTCCATTTCAAACATATCACGTGCTTGTTGCCATCCGACGGCCAATCAGCATCGACTTGTACCAGGGCAGAAATTGTGTGTATTGCCTAGGCTACGGCATGGCAATGCCCTGCGCAGCTGCATGCATGCTACGGAGTACGGTCTCCCTACATCAGATTCTGTACAATCATGTATGCATAATGACATCCAATGCCCTGCATGCCGCTATGCAAATGCCAGGCTATGGTGCCATCTATCTATCAGCTTAGCCCGGCAAGGGTCTGCGGCACTGGCAGTTTTTCGTTGTCAGCTCAGTTCGCATGTCACATTCGACTGTGAACTGACGTTACTTGCTCTGGTTTGCGAAATAAAAGAGCATGCACCTATCTATCTGCTCTGAACTTAGCAAGCCAAAATAAGTAAAGTGGCAATCACCGGGGTCAGTTTTCCATGTTCGGATTCCATGGACGGTCTCGGGCAAGCTCTCGATATTACGGAGCTGAAACTCAGAAGCTGAATCCACCACGTCCCCGACCACCACCCCAAAAGAAGTGTCTTGCTTTCATACCTAAGAGGCTAAGTCTTCATGGCGGCTGAAACTCACAAACTGAAGTTCCAGCTCCGTGCGCTCTCGGGCAAGCCGTCGAGCGCACGGCTGAAGTTTCGTTCTGAAGTTTCAGCTCACAAAGTATCAGCTCCGTATGCTCTCGGGCAAACTCATAAGCTGAAGTTTCGTTCTGGAGTCTCAGCTCCGTACGCTGAAGGGCTTGGGAGCTGAAACTCACAAGCTGAAGTTCCAGCTCCGTGCGCTCTCGAGCGCACGGTACGGCTGAAGTTTCGTTCTGAAGTTTCATCTCAAGCAATGTGAAGTTTCAGCTGAAGCAAGGTGAAGTTTCGTTCTGAAGTAACCGTTAGTTTCATCTCGAGCAAGGTGAAGTTTCGTTCTGAAGTAACCGTTAGTTTCATCTCGAGCAAGGTGAAGTCTCGGGCAAGCCCTCGAGCGTACGGAGCTGAAACTCACAAGCTGAGTAACCGTTAGTTTCATCTCGAGCAAGGTGAAGTTTCAGCTCCGTACGCTCTCGGGCAAGCCCTCGAGCGTACGGAGCTGAAACTAACAAGCTGACTAACCTTTAGTTTCATTTCGAGCAAGGTGAAGTTTCAGCTCGGTACGCTCTCGGGTCGGGCAAGCCCTCGAGCGTACGGAGCTGAAACTAACAAGCTGGTACGCTCTCGGGTCGGGCAAGCCCTCGAGCGTACGGAGCTGAAACTAACAAGCTGAGTAACCGTTAATTTCATTTCGAGCAAGGTGAAGTTTCAGCTCGGTACGCTCTCGGGTCGGGCAAGCCCTCGAGCGTACGGAGCTGAAACTAACAAGCTGGTACGCTCTCGTGTCGGGCAAGCCCTCGAGCGTACGGAGCTGAAACTAACAAGCTGAGTAACCGTTAGTTTCATTTCGAGCAAGGTGAAGTTTCAGCTCGGTACGCTCTCGGGTCGGGCAAGCCCTCGAGCGTACGGAGCTGAAACTAACAAGCTGAATCCTCCACGTCCCCGACCACCACCGCTAGAGGAGTCTCGCTTTTCTCCGGACGCTCTCGGGACATGCTGATCGGTGATTGGTGTTTGCTTGTTGATGTATGCAGTATGTTTCAAATACAATCAAGCATGGTAGGAAGGTCTTGATGGAAAATGTGTGCCCTCGTGCGTAGCCCTCGGGCACACCATGCCCTTGTGTGTACGAATTTTCCACCAAGCCCTTCCTTCCATGCTTGATTCTATACGTCCGCTAGTACTAGTAGTAGTGCTAAGAATCTTTCCTGATGACGATGACGGCGTGTCACGAGGCTGAAAATTTGGCAGAGCCAGAACTCAGCCATGTTCAAATGATGTACCATAAATAGTAAAGTCATCAAGACCATAATCATACAAGTACCCAAAACAGCTAACCGGGTGGGCACCACATGGATTCTCAGGAAGCACGCGTTTCGAAGTCTGAACACACTGAAGAACATGTTGAACTGTCTGCCAGGATGCATGACGAATAACAAAATGCATAGTTTAGACGGCGGTGCCATTCTTCTCGTTTTCGAATCCTTCAAATTTATTCATGTATATCATTATTATGATGTAACAGTTTACAATCAACATGAACATGTACGTGCGTTGTCATTATTTTTTACAAAAGTCTAGGCTTGCACTGGCTGTTGGTAACCTCCCAACAGAATGAAAGGAAAGTCAGGAGGAGTCTGATAAAGAGAAGAAAGACGTTTGTGACCATAATCGTCGGGAATCGAACCCGCAACCTATGGATTGAAATCGCTGCACATACCACGGCACCATACGGGACACACACACACATACGCACACACTCACACACGCACACACACACACACACAAATCCATACACGCGTATATACATGTACCTACGCAGAAAGCCGCGAGTACAAGCGCAAAAGCCCACACAGACAAAAAGCGTGAATCTGATAATACGCACAGCACCGAAGTAATCATGTTTTTTATTTTTGTTTTGAATGGCTGTAAATACAGTCTAATGTAAACGAGAGAGCTTGGAAGCTCAGGGCCCTGCGCTATGCTTTGTTGCCAAGCTCATCGTGCATGTTGTTAGAACTAATGGAAATGCTTTTTACTTTGATTAGCTACATCATTGTATTGCAAAAACGTTTCAATGAGATACTGAAGTAACGTCTTCTGCATAGCTATGGGACCGGCGCTGACTCTGCCGATCACGGGCTTTCTGGAGCCGACGGGATGTCTGTCCTGACGTTTCCTGGGACCGGCGCTGACTCTGCTGATCAGGGGCGTTCTTCTTCTCATTATTATACTGACGGCAACTAACATACATTCTGATTGCATTTACTCGTCTCCCTACTTCGTATTTCCTTCCAGAAAATCTCCCCATACAGCAGGGAGTCGTTTACATAATATGACTCCTTGCTATACATCTACATGACCCATCTACATGACTGTATATACGTTATAATTATTATGCTATCGGCCTATACGCGATTCCCGGGCTGGTCGACAAGCGGCCCAGCCAGCCTGCTAGTTGGATCTCGGGCTCGCACACAAATCCACACAAAATGTTACTGCACTGAATGCATTCCCCCGATACTCTTCGCATTTATGCTCATTCTCTTGATGGTGCCGTACTCTTGATGGTACGGGACAGGTACGGGATAGCGCCAGGCATGTCGATGGCACAAACAACAAAAATATTGTGGCCAGCTGTCTTTGCTGGTACGGTACAGTGCGGGACAGATACGGGAAGATACGGGATAGCGCCAGGCGTGACACAAACAAACAAACAAACAAACACCAAATTAAAGCTGTGTGGACCCTGGCTAGCGCCAGACGTTACTGAAGTAACGTCTTCTGCATAGCTACGGGAATAATAACAATTGTAATTCCAAATTTACAACTACGATGTACTTAGTACAGTCATGTCAAAAACCGGCCTTGAACACCGAACACAACCGCCTCAGGATCGGAAGTAATCATGACATGCACGTAGACTACGTGTAATTCCAACTGCGTGCACGCACGTCGCGATTGAACATGTACAATACAGGGACTCCCCTAGTCAAATAATAAATACTACTACTACTACTACTATGTACAAGTAATATCAGGCTGGTTGAATGACGTGTCTCATTAGTGATGACTACTAAATTAATTCCACCGGAACGCAGTGGAACTCACTTCGTGCGTACCGGGGTAAGGCGTTCAGCTGCTGGGACCGCACAAGTCAGTCAACATGGATAAGAAGTCCCACGGATACTAAGTACCTTCTTACACTCCCGAGGAGTACGCCTTATCCGAGTTCCACAAAACCGTACTGGGCGATTTAGATCAAGCCGTCCTTCATGATGTTGGTGGCTGCTATTATGTCACAGCGTGACAGTAATTTGCAAGGGTATGACGCGTGCTTGTCTGACTAATGTCACTGTCCAGAAGTTGTTGTTCAGCTTTTCAAGTTGGCACTGCGATTGCACCTCATGCAACTATTACTTGAGGTGCCAAACCATGAGCTGGACAGGAACAAACTGCATTATGTTAGCAGCATGGACATGTACTGTAACTCAACAAGTATTCGGCGCATATTTATTTTCGGTTATTATCGGCCTGGTCATATTTGGCAGAAAATTTGCTGCGGACGAAATTTGGTATGACGCGTGCTTGTCTGTCTAATGTCACTGTTCAAAGGTTGGTGGTTT